GGCGCGTCCGTGAGGTCCGGACGCGAGAAAGGGAACGCGTGGGAGGGGGCGCGCGTGCACCTCGAAATTCGTCAATTCGTGATATCGTTACACGCCGCCCAAATGTTCGTCGAAGAGTTTAATCTCGCGTGAATCGGGACGGCTTTGCGATTCGATGGCGGATTCTACTGATTCGAAGGGGATCCAAAGGGAACGCGACGTCCCGATCGAATCACTCGACTTCTCAACTGTTCGGGGCGGGCTTTCGGCTAGAATCGTCCCGGCAAAAGACGATGTCGCGTGTCGCGGGGAAACTCGCGACACCGTTCTCCTTCTCTTTCGTCATTCCTTTCCTTTTTTTTCCCTTTCTTTTGAAACGCGAGGATGAGGTAGGAGGAACGAGGAGCGTGCCTACCTTCCATCCCATGTTTTCGAAGAACGTGCTCATCCGTGTCTGTCCGGTCGTTTTACCGCCGCAAGGTCCTGCAACACAAAAATACGAGACACGTTAGTCATCGCGGCCAGACTCCTGCCTCCGGCGATTTTCGTTGCGGTGAATACAGTCGCGCTCGAACGGGACGACCAACTGATCGCGTCTTCTGAACCCAAGATATTTCAAACGCACAACAAAACCGCGCGTGACCCGTATAGTTGCTTTCACCCTGTTGCTTTATCAAATAGCTTCGCGCGTTTACATGGGTGACGCAACGTCTGTATAGAACCAAAGAGAAATGTTTTCCATGACATAAGAGATGAACCAAAATTTGTTAGACTGAGATACAAGAAGGTCGAGGAAGATCTCTGCAAAACATCTTCTCAGTTTTTCTTTAGGTAAATTGCATTGATTAGTGAATTTAATGAGTGTCGATCGGACAGTCGACGTGTTAATTACATTCCAATGAAGTGCAAAATGCAGTAGATATTACGATTGAGCTAGGTGTCCATCTTAAAGCGAAACTATTTCGACTTGTCCTAGATGAGTTTGACAAGACGGTATGCTTTTGTTCGGTATCGTTACTCTTTAATAGACACAAAGCTTTACACGTTATTGTTCATTACACGGTGTTCCCTGAGATTGCGACTATGGGCCCGGATCGACCCTACGTTTGCCTAACTAGGATTAAGAGCGGCTCGCTTGAAATCGGACTCGACGGAAAGGCGATCCGCGGAGTCGCGGTGCGCGCATTATCCTTGCTAAAACGAAAGCGAGACGGGAAGGTTACGACGTCGCTAACCTTGACTTCTGCGGTGCACACGTGGCTGTTGAACTCGGCCAGCGGAAATAGAAATGACGCGCGGGATTCGATTGGATCGTGTTAAGGCGACGCCTGTAACACTATCGGGACCCGAATTGCGACTCCACTTCCACCGCGAGTCCTCGGACCGGTGATATATTCCCGCAGCACGCGTCGCATGAAAAAGAGGAGACGGAAGAGGACAGGATATCGTTGTATTCCGTTAGTCTTGATGTTTGCATTACGTTCGTTACATTAAGCCTGTGTACTAGACAAGTGGCTCTCATTGTCAGTCACCACTTAATTATGTATTCCTTCCGACTAGTTTGTTTAAAAGTATATAGCAGCAGTAGTTGGACGTTTCTAATGAAAAACTTTCGACTGCAAAGGTTCAAATAAATTCGTAATGATATCGTCTGCTCTCACCTTGACCGACAGACTAAGTGAACACTTGGAAGACGCATGTGTTAGACACTTCACGAACAGTGATATCCAGAACTATTCAAATTTTTATGCGCCATTATTTCTAGAATCATTTTTCTAACGGACTTCTACGAGATACATTGTATCTTCGTATTAGATTGAACGTAAACAACAATTAAGTCACGTATGGAGTGGTAAGAAATTAAACGAGACACCGTTATATTGGCATCTTGTTGATTTATTTAACCCCTTGCACTCGTAAGCTTTCCACTAGAAACATTCGACACTGAACTAATGAAGACACATACGGACATTGAGAAACAAAGCAATTTTATAGAAATATTTCACATATCGATGCATCATACAGAACTTAATATTATGTATAACATTTTGTAATTTTGTTATATCAAATGAAATGGCGACTGAGAGTCGCCTCTCGAGTGCAAAGGGTTAATTTTGCATAGTTAATTGGCGAATGAAATTAATTAACTTGTGCCTTTAAGACTGAACGTCACTGTAATCTCAAAATGACAAGGTACAATCGTTTTAACACAGTTGATAGAATTACTGAATACATCGTTAATTTGTATTTACAGGGTGACATTTATTAATTGTATACTACATCCATCGTTTTATAGTCACGAAACAATATTCAGCCTATAGAGGGTTAAGAATTCTCCTTGCTGATGTTTCGTCGCGGTTCGCCAGGGATATAAATTACTCCGAAACGAGAAATCTAATTAGGCGGTATGTGGGGAACGCGATTGGAAGTCTTCGGTGGCGAAATCGAAGACTCCGGAAGAACCTCGGAGCACTTTAATCTTATTAATCCGTTTGCTCGACGAATAACTGGATGGCTTCGTGCGATGCTGTCGCACATTCTCACGTGAACCGCGTGCGCCGTTGGGCACCGCCTTAAAGCGAAAGCTAGAGGCGTTCATTAGAGTTTGAAGTTCGGGAAGCATAATGCGGACGCAACACCTGAAATCGTATCCGCTGCGCTCTACATGCGCGCTGTCGGTACCGAACGCCACGCTCTAGAAAGGGAAAGCGTGCAACTGGCACGAGAGAACCATCATGAATTAACACTTTCAGTGCCAAGCGTATCATTCTGGAATTGAAAAGGTATGTTTACTTTCCTGGCGATTACATAAGATCAAGGACGACAGGGAAAACGTTGAAAACGAAGAAGCATCTCTACTTTCTACTCGAAGCTTCGCGCTGTACAACGAGTTCAGACAGAATGTCAAGCGATCTTTCGTTACAAAAGTGCGGGAGTTCAAAGATCGATATTTCGATTGCAATAAAGCGATCATTTAACTTCGCGCCGTCGCGATTAACGCGTTACGTTTGAAAAATCAAGTTTCATTGTTGCATTAGCCCTTTGCGGAGGAATGTCGACATTTTGCCGAGATCAGGTGTTCATATTTGCAATGCTAAGTCGCAAACGAATGATATAATTACTAAAACAGCAGGAGATCGGTACGTAGTTTCCCTTTTCCAATTATCTAAGCAATCCATATATAATTTAGTTTCGTCTGCTGACGGTTTTCTATATTTCAAAGAATCTTCGTCCGCAAAGGGTCAAAAAGGATCTCGATCTCCAGGAGGATATCTGACGCGACACCGAGGGCGTTAAAACTACTCGTGACTCGAAATAGAATTCGGTCGCGATACAACAATGTTTTCGACGCATAGTAAAGATAGAGACACGTTTTCCTGTATGGCAATGACGAGATTTTCTAGACAGTTAAGTGGCGAAGATAGCGCGCGTTGCCATTCGCGGTGCGTTTTTACGTTCCGTTTATCAACCGCATGCATAAAACATTCGCGCGGACAATAAATAATTCGCTCGCGACGGAAAACGGTTCGCGGCGAGCGTCGTCTCGATCAATTGGGAAAGATTGGTCTTGTTTAGACGGCGCGCGGCGAATCGGTTCGATCCGAGACGATCCAGCCGTATCGGGAGACGAATCGTCGATGATCGAGATCTCTTTTCTTATGGCGGGGCAAACAAGTGCAAGAGACGCGACCCATTTCAGTTAATGATCTTATCTCGTTCGATCGTCTGTTGCTTTCGAACGGAAACACGTCGCGATAAGTATTTTTTTTCTTTCTCATATAACGATTCTCGAGATAATTTAATTGCTACGCATTGCGTGTCTCTGTTGACGTAACTCCACTTTTCTTTTCTGTATCCTTCGGAAGCAGCAGTTTACACTAGATCTATCGAGCAGCAAAATCGACTGTTTCGTATTTTTTTTTTATAAAAATTGTAAGAATTATTTACGATGTATATACAACCCTTCTCATTTGCAGTATATCTAAATGAATTTGTTTAATAATTTCTTAGAGTATCACCTACGTTCTTTCAGTAATTTTGTAAGAGAAAATTAATTATGAGTCGTTTCGACCGTGTGGTAGTTCCAGGGTTAACGAGCAAATAAATAATAACGCCGAGAATGTATAATTCGGTGCAATTTTCGTTGCGCAATCTAATGGTATAGTTATGGGCTTTTCATAAAAATATATCATTTCCGCGCTATGTCGTTTAGTTTCGCTTCCGACGTGGGCTACCGTTTTAATGATCGACAGCTGGTAACAACGGGTTTACCACCAGTAAATACATGTTTTGTCTAGCATAAGTAAGCACGTTGTCAAGATGCCACGTAAAAGAGTCGAGGCGTGCATTCTCGTCGAATTAAATTTAGACGCGTACAACTGTCAATGTTTTCAAGATGGTCGTGCTCCATTCTGAACAACGTATTATGCGTCTTGCTTCAATCGGTTTAGCGTTAATTTTGTTGTTCCCGAGGCATCGCGAACGGTAATAGCGCCAGATTCCACAGAAATTTGAATTAATCAAATGATCTTTCCCCTTTTCATTCCTAGGTTCGATTGTCAATAGATAATTTTCAAAAATCATTCAATATTACTATATCATTATATTATCATTATTGATTGCATTATGATCTATATACTTATTTTTACACAATAATCATTGAAATGTAATTAACAGTAGAACTACTGAGCATTTGATACAATTAATATGTAATCCCTATAAAAACTGTAACAATAGATTATTTTCAGTTTCTTCGGATATTCTTTATAGTATTCAAGCGAAGCCATTTATTGTCGAGATCATTTCAGTTTGAAACCGATCAGTTTAACTAGTACGGTACTTCTTGCGTTAAAAAAAATATTTGGCCAGAACTAAATATTTTTCAATTTTCTGTACCACACAAAAGGGTTAAAACAAAATTCGCGTAGTTCCTCAATTGCCCGTTCCAGTTGCACGCTTTCGTATTAACCTGTTAACCAGGTGAACTTTGAACTAAACAAATCGGTATCTGTAAATTAAATATGAATGACACGTTCGGTAGTTAATAAGCCCGATTACTATTTAGACCGATACAGATACCGCCGTATAATTAACGGCTGATAACTTCGAACGAACGGAAGAAAACACGTAAAGAGAATTACACAAACACAGAGTCGCTCTCGAAGAACGAATTTATCCGTCTGCTTCGGTTAACACATTCGCTACCAGCGTCACATATTTGTAACGGCCGTAATCCTATATTTTACATAATGGAAATGAAATTAATCCTACAGATATTGTTATTAAAAATTATAAACTACGACATTATATTTAGAAACTCGAATGACTCGTTTCAAGTTTCATTTTTCTAACATTTTGTTTAGATTGATCGGATCGAAGAAAATATTATAATCGAGGAGACCGTCACCGAAATAAGCGCTGGTGGTGAACGTGTTAACAGGTTAAAAACGACCGTGAAACGCGGTCAAAACGCGACGAGTTCCGTCGCGGGACGTGAAAGGTAATTTTCCCCGCGTCGCACGGGAATTAAATCGATATATTCGCACAGGCGATAAGCATCCGAAACAACGTGTGCCGAAGCAACGGGAAAACCATGAGGAACATGTTTCGTTGGTGGCCGCGTGACGGAACGCGGAACGAAACGGACACGATAATGGAATATGGATTGCAGACGATCGTGAAAATGTAGCGCGAGCACGTGGTTTCCGCGGACGCGTAACGGATCGTGTCTTTCGGAGTGCACTGTTAGTCCGCTAACCGGACGGGCAAACATGGAAGCGTCCATTCGTATAAACGAACCAAGAGACACAGTCGAAGGTGAAGTTCACGATGCACGGTGTGCACATGACATTGAATCGTTTTGCGGAAAAGCAAAAAAATCAAAGGTCTCGCTTACCTCCGGTGAGCACCACTTTGTAAAGGCGCTTCTGCTCCATGTTGAATGGACGATTTCTCGAGCCCCTCTGTTTTTCTTTTTTGCCCGAGCGAGTCCACGAGGTGTTCCGAGTTGACGTCGATGGATGGACGAAGGAAGGTGTTCGTCGTCGTCTGGCACGTGAACGGTGTCTACGGGTGCAACGAATACTACATAAACACTTCACCGTACATTTCGGGATGTCGCGGGATCAGATGTGTTGGAGACATGGAAAAAGAGAGCGGAGCAGTGACGATATTACGATGCCAGAAAGACGAACACCGCAACTGGGGAGTGAGCGCAGACGTCTGCCTCGAAACGTAGCGATCCGCGGGTTTGGTTAATCGGGTTATGCTCGTTGCTCCCTCTGCGCGGCACTGCCATGCGCAACACAGAAATTCACGACACCTGTATGGGCGCCGCTTACGAAAATGCTAGAAAAATTACATGAGCCTAGATATTCCCGTTTCATTTGTCGCCGTGAACGTATCGGTCGCGGCTGAGTCACGCACTTTTTCGGAACGGGAATTTTCTAATCCAAACGACACACTTGCCAGTTACACCTGCTAGAATTTATTGACGGGGATGTCGATGGATGTCTTTTCTAGGTTACGAATTCGGGAGAATCACGAAATTAGAAATTTACTTTTGTTCGATTTCTTTTACTTGTGGAGAAGACGGAACCTCTTGACGACACCACTTGGAGACTTGTTGTTTTTTCTTATGATATGGTTTATCTAAGTTTCACTGTATAATTGTTAGAATTGTCACCCGTAATTGGATGGTAAGGTAGAGAGAGTGGACCCCGAATCGTTTTAACGAAATTAAAGAGTTCTATTTCGTTTTTAGTAAGTTGATTCTTCCAGCTTGCAGTAGCGAGCACGATTCGATGAACTTTACATTTGATATATATTTTTCTCAACCTTTTGATTAAAAAATTGTGGCGTCATCTACGGAAAAATTGTGAACCTACTAGTCAGTTAGTATCGCATTTCTGTTATTAGATGGCGCTACAATGATTGTTAATTATATGTTTCATAAAAAAATGCAAATTGAACGTTTACTTCATTCGAATGCGATTAATATCAGATTGTTACTGAACAGTGATTATTTTACGCCACGTATAGTAAATAATAATTGAATGTTTAATTAGTTCTGTCGCAGAATGTTGCACCTACGCCATCTAAAGTAGAAAAATAATACTATTGTTCAGAAGACGGCGCCACGGGTCGTTTAATTTACATCATAATTACTCATTAACGGTAAGTAAACAGTAATAATTTTGAATAACAGGAAGCGCACAGTTTGATTGACAACCAAATTATTGATAGCAGGTAAGGTAACCACTGCGAAAAATGAAATAAAAGAAAATTGGTTCGAAGAACTTAAGAGATACTTAGCGTAGCAGAGTTTTATCTTTTCTTCTATTATACAGTCATCGAAAGTGCAATAAAATATTCCTATTGACAATGAAAAACGACGCACTTAAAGTAATAATTTATGAAAACAATAAAGCTTGACCTGCAAAAAATACAATTTTATTCCGTATTCTTTTTCGCTTTAATTTCAATGAAAAGGCACAAATGTAGATTTACATTTATAATTAATCTACTTGTAAGATTTAGCCTCACAATATAGTATCAAATATATACATGTTTATATGTATATATTTATATAAATACCGATACACTTAAACAAGGGTTTCTCATTTTTATTGTTCAAATGTGGTATAATCTTTTGTATTCGGCACTAGAGGGCTTCTCAAGTGGTACCTTTCCCGCTTCTAGTTGATTCATTACCTATTCCTATACATATATATCGTTTTTAATATTGCACCGAATACCTTTGCAATCAAAGCAGAGTGTATCAAATAACTTTACTGAAACAAGTATCTACTGGCAAGCCTAGGAGGAAACCATTCACCCACGCCAAGGTGTACCCTTTCCTTTCTCATGTATATGCATTTTCCCTTCCTCTCTCTTTCATACTTCCTTTCACCTAATTCACAGTCGTCAAATAGAGAAAATATTGGCAGAACCTTCTGTTAATTTGTACTATGAGCAGACGTTTCCGTTTGAGCCTCAGTTCAAGCCTTTTATCATTGACTCTCCCGATAAATACAGAAAGTGTGTGGTTATCGCGTTAAACCGACACGGCAAAATATAAGAGAAAAGGAATAAACGAAAGAGGAAGAAGCTCGCATGCTTTGTATGTGTCGTGAAAAGAGTACTTTCTCTGTTATTGTAAATGCGATAAAGGCAACAAGTGGAATTACCATTCAGACCCGGTCAAATGAGATCTTAATTGCTTCGTTAATGCGCCAATTTAGATTTCAATGTACCCTTTGTACAGCTGCCTGAAAACCCTCCACTGCCAGATAAATTTATTTAATCTGCGGTCGTAAACTGTACGGCGTTCCAATTGTTACGTTCGGCGAAGACACGTTTTCAATAAGCTTGAGTAGTTGCACACTGTTTTCTCAAAGAAAATGCCACTGTCTAATTAGTATACAATAATTCTAACTAGGGTGTGAAAGCTTTCGGTTCTTGCATACCGCGCGTCCCATTTAAAAATTGATGCCAACGTTTCGCTGACATTGTGAAAACAAAATTATTTACAATTCACTGTCAGTAAAGGATACCTATTAGTAATTAGTTAATAAACAGTACCGACGATAAAACAATGAGAATGAGAAACAATCTCTGTATATATGTAAGCATTAATCATGCGCGTGGTTTCGTTTAACAATCGTTCTGCTACCTCTGGCAAAAAGTATTTCATCCAACAAATTAAACGTTCGTTGCAAAAAATGATTTCATGTATCGTGCGTTAATCTAAAAAAACACACAATGGAGTCAGTTGCCTCGCATAAACAAGATATTAGTATAAAAAGGAACATGTTTGTTTATTTACAAAATACAGAGCATTACGGTATAAGTCACCCCCTTTTCTCAGAGTATTAAAAGTGTTTTAATGCTTGTCTTGCTACTCACACAGTTTTGTTAGAATATTTTATTTATTTCATGTTTCATGAAGAGAAAAGAACATTCATCGTTTCATTAATATTTCTTGTTAATATCGTTAACTCGTCTATTCTATTTCCGTTTGTAATATGTATGCAAATCATTTCTTCGGTGGTTACGTTAACAACTTCGATTAAATACTTTCTGTCAGGGGTAGAACTTGGAGGTAACGATATTAGAGTGAGACGGTAAACACAACGGAGGAAAGGAGATTCAAGTTTTGAAGGTCTTTGAAAAGCAACACATCATTGCTACTGGATTTACCATCTCACTGGACCTTCACCAACAAGTACTTACGTATAAGTGCTCTCAACGAGTCTTATACATTCACTACCGTGTTTTAATTTGTCTAACTTTAAGGCAAAAGTTCCTTTTGTGTTCCGTACACAATTCGCGCGCGATTCAGCTGTCTTGCCGTCTTTTTTTTTGCCATGTTTTGTTTTCTGAGTTCCCGTTCAATCCTCGAAGCGCCGACATTCTTGTTCTTATTTTTAGCTGCACAGGCAACGATGCTTAGGTCCACTTAGACCCCTAAGACTCTACTTAAAGGTTAAACGTCTACTTCTTTTATTAGATTTAATATAAACAATTAAGAGTTTAGACAATTAAGTATCGTACAGTCATGGAACAAATGAAAATCCTTAAATCTTGAGTCTAAACGGATCCAGGCTTCGTTGTCCAAGCGTTACATGACACACGTGTCCACTAAGAATAATTAGACGTATCCACCATTGCGTATTTAACAAAATAATTGTTTTTAAACTATTTTGTACTCTGAAATTGGTACGCAACACACATTCTGCTTGATATGAAATTTTGCTCGAGAAAAACTGCGAATGCGGAGAAAGGCAGCGTTCTATTATCGCGTGTCTCGTGTTACTTTTGTGCTGAAGAAAGAGAAGAAGCAGTAATATCATTTCGTTCCATTCTATTTTGTTTATTTAAACATTTTCTCGACGCTGAATCCGTCCTTTCGATCAAATCCCGCCGTTTCTTAATATTAAAATTATTAAACGTCCGATGAAATATCACTGATATTCTTCTGAAAGACTCAACACTGTTTTCTAAGCAAAAATTCGTCGCATAGACATGCTTTTGTCAATGTATTTACAAGAAAAAGTCTCGCGTACAATTGAACGTAACACAGCAACATATTTGATGACGAAACTTCCGTCACTATTGAAAAAAGTAGTGCGTAATACGTTACGGATAATAAATAAGTATTAAATAACTTCTCCCTCGGTAATATTCTCATAAAAATGACCCGTTCTCGTGCAGGCCCATGTTTTATCGAACAATTTACAGAAACGTAACATTATTACAGAACTGACAATTTTTGTAAATATAATTTTAAATTAGTGCACAATTACCTATTGCAAAAATATATTTTGTGTATGAGCTAGATTTAGGAATCCTTACGTACAATTTGTACAATAAATATATATAGATATATGTATATATACTTTGTTCCAACAAATTGATTAAAAGAATCTTAGCTATCAGTATAAAATTTCGTATCTAGTTAATACCGTACTCGAAGTCGAAACTATAATTTATTTGTAACAACCATAAATTACATCATCTTGTAAAAAAAAGCAATCACTTACTGCTAAAACGAAGAAGAGATTTACTTATTATTTTACGCAATTTCCGAACGGAAGTAGTTACGTATTAGTCAACATAATGTCATATAAATCTATTTTTCAATACTAGATTGCAGAAGTACTATAATAGTTCGAGTAAGTCAGTAATTTTTTATGCTTTTTTTTTTAGTACAATCTTATTTCATCATTTTATTTCAAGTCAAATCTATATTATAGTTGAGTGTGCAACTAATTTTGTCTGATGCCGTTCTGTTATTGTTTATTTACATCTATATATATGTACAAAGACAGAGTAAACTTTAGTAAAGAAGATTTCACAATGCGTATAAAGGAGAAACTTACGCATATTACTGTAATTATGATTGTTGTGAGCATCAGATAAGACATGAATTGGTGAGCATATTTGCCAAAAATATAATATAAAATATAATGTAAAATATACACGATAAACGTAATTAGAAAAATATAAGGAATTCATTAATTTAATTCTTCCAGATTGCAGCAAAGTATAGAGAGAACAGAAAGACATTCTACACATTTGTCTTACTACAATGTCTGTGCAAAGTGTACACTAAAAGTATATTTAACAATGATTTACTAATAACTTTTATCATATTAATTGCCCAATACGCTATGCACGTCTTTTTTTTATAAAAATATCGTAAATGAATTATGGCAATAATGTTCAACAATTACAATATGTCAGAGTGCTAAAGTTTTAAATATTCAGCTAGTATTAAAAATTAGGAAAATCAATTCTTTGCACAAATTTCAAAGGTATACCTATGCCAAGAAGTTCTTGAGGTGACTTACGGTATAAATGTGGAAAATAATGAATTAGCGCTTGAAAACATATCTCAGATAACTTGGGAATTTTTAGCCACACTGAATGTACAGCATCTGTTCTTGTTACCTGTAATATAATATTTCATATGTTAGAGAGATAAGATATTTAATTCATTGAACATTGAGCGTACAACAACTTTTTAATAACCTTATTATTCTCTTTGATCGAGCCACCAAATATATACATGCGTCCTTCTGGAGTAAGAGCTGCTGAATGGAAATATACAGGGCTTGGTAATATACATTTTCTTAAACATGTCCATTGCAGTAGACTTAGGTCTAATCTCCATACATCAGAGAAGACATGATCCTTATTACATCCACCAGAAATTACTGCATAAATGACACCTGTTTTTTCATCTGTATATTGAACAGAACCATGACAGCGTCTAGGTTCTGGTACTGAAGCATCCTTATTGTCACCACATGTATTTAATACTACCCATTTATTCATTTTCAAGTCAAAAGCAGGAATTTCCTGAACGAAAATATAAAAGAATAAATATTTTGCCATAAAGTCAATTATGAAAAAAATTGTATCACTTACAGAAAAACCAAATGCTTCTATGCCAGTTCCTCCACCCAAAACATAAATAAGTTTTCCATCAAATGCTAGTTCATGTCTATACCTTCCAGTGGGTTCGTTAGGATCACTTCCTGAACATATGTAAACTTTCTCCCAAATACCACTCCTAAGATCGAATCTATGAATATCACAAGTATATTCGTATCCCGTGGTGCCACCAACAGTATACAAATAAGATCCATGACTTATTACGGCTTGTCCATATTGAGGATCTGGTAGATCTCCATATGCAGGAATGACATGCATTTTACCGTCTTTCAAATTGCATAGATAAAGGCTATTACTACAGCTTGATCCAAATGGAACACCAGACCCACCATAAACTATTAAGAAGTTGCCTGTTAAAATAACAGCATTGGATGCCAATTCCTTAGGCATATTTTCTTGTCCTGGCAAACGGGTCCATTGTTGTGAAATAAGATTGAACTTCCATACTTCCTTAAACAATGGTTTACTGGAAATCCATACTTGATCATTTTGCATATCAGGATCACTGTCGGAAATGCATGGATTGAAACCGCCAAAAGAGTACAAATACTTTTCATCACAAACTATTCTGTGTCCACTTCTCGCTTTCGGACGCTCGACACTATTCGCATTGTGCTTCTTAAACACAAATGGCTTGAATTTATACATGTTTGTTAATTAATTGGCAATGTACCGTCGATTCTTAGAGAAGCGGCTGATTGCACGTATAATGTTTGTTGTTAAGGCTTTATTTTATTCGCTCCGAGAAAGAAGTTGTTTAGGCGAGAGCTGGACGATGGCTATAGAGTGCACACTTATTGTACTTTGTATCTGTAATTTGCCTGTCACGTTCGGGTTCACGGATTTAAACGAATGTCGTGCAGTCTCGAATAAACTTGTGAACATGTGTTTTCTTGAGCCAGAGAAATTTTCAACACAGACATCTTGCGCGAACTTTGCGACACATCTGGTGTACCTTTCATACATCGACAATCATGGCTTAATATATTGAGGTGTTACTGTCTTGATTTCCTCGATTCTTTGTTCACGCAATGACCACAGATTATTTCGATTACACCAGTTTTTTAATATTTAACTTCGTAAATAACACTAATTTCAATGATCCGCGTATAGCAATAAACTGATAGCTGCAAACTTGCAACTTTACGCCTATGCAGTAGTACAGCCAGTGTGGCCAGGTCGGGGAAATTGAAATTGAGGGGAATACAGTTACTCCCACCTCAGCGTTACCGACGGGACCTGCGGTGGTTACGGGGGTTGTTGGGGAATGCTCGCTGACGAGGAATGAAGTCGGAGAAGGGGTAGGAAAGAGTGAGAGAAAAGTCTTAATCTGGTCACACTGAATACAGCTGCGACTGCGTGGCGCTGATCACCTGACTGATGCCATTTAATCATGTTTACGTCTCATTATTTGAATTATTTCAACCCAGTTTAAAACTTGAATTATTTTATAAACACTGATTGCATGTACTACATAAATAATACTTTTTTTAAGGTGATAATTGGTAAAGTATCAAATAAACGGAATAGTTAATGTTTCTTTATTTTCATATAGTTCGTTACAATTCCCTATGCGATATAATTTGCATGTTCCAAGCCTGTTATTATATTTATAATGAAAAATAATAAGTTTATATTGCGCACATTTATGAATTTCATTGAATTTGCATTGTTTTTCTAATTTTATTACATGCACCGTACTTTGTTCAGGGAGTATAATAAATTCTTGCACGCTCTATCTATAACACCCACATATATGTAAATACAATCTTTACCGATTGTTAGTAAGTTCTTGCATTGTCAAAGATGGTACTCAACATTGTTCAAAGAACATATTTTTACATACAGTATATACATTGAATTTCCAGTTTATTTTGTCTCTTAGATAGATGCTATAATAAAGTTAATTGTTTAGGTTGGTAAAACAGTCTTGGACCTGAAAAGTTCACGGCGTTTATCTGTGGAGATCATGGATGGCGCTGTAAGAAGTCTTTTATTTCTGGATCGGTAAGGTAGCCGACTAGAAAAATAATAAGGTTTTTTGTATACTCTTATTTATACTTGCAAATAATATTTACTTCTAACATTTATTTATTTTTTCTAACGATAACATACCAATTCCTTAAATTTGAAGTTACTGATTATTCAGACATTTCTTCTCATTCTCTTTCAGGAAAAGTTTCAAGCGTCGTTTCGTTTCATTTTCCGCGACTTCTTGACGTATCTAAAGAGGATGTAGATATCAGCGTCAGAGTCTTTAAAAGGTTTATAGTTAAAAATCAAAAGTACATGCACAAATATGGACCTTAGCGAGCAAGGGACCAGTTATTTTATCTGGCACCGCAACATTTTCTTCCATTTCTTCTTGTTGTTTAATTATGTTGCTCGTCTTCGAGTACACGGTGCCGCGCGTTAAAAATTTAATGCTGTTTCGCGAAAGGACCGGGGCAATTAATGCGGCCAGTGGTACATTTTCGTTGATTAAACCTGCATGAAGAAATCGTAACAAAATTTACGAACGCCGTGAATCATAGATGCAGGGGAGTACGTTAATTAAACCCAAACACAGAACCTTGTTTATTTATTCTTTTGCTCTTAAGAGAAGCACACATCTGTCCGACTAAAATTCTTTGAGTGTTCGTCATTCTTCGCAATATTACATGATCCGCGTCTAAATGACCAAGATCCTGGGCAGCTTTCCAACTCTGTAACCACACATAGAATAGGAAAAATATTCGTTATCAGATCGTTTCCCCCTGAATATTTCACCGAGTTTCAAACACGTTCGTGCCGGTGCAATAATCCTTTTTTTTCTCTCCTTATTGCGAAAAACTCACTTTGGCATTCGGCGTACGTTTCGCGTGAACGTTTCCTGAAGATAACCGATGCTCGTCGGTCTTCGTCAACGAGCCTGCCCACAGGCTGCGCCCAGACTTTATTTCCCTGGAACCGTATCCGCTGGACTTTTCCCCCGTTCCCGTAATACCTTTATCAATTTAATAAAAAGAAATAAGGAAATTCAAATCCGTCGTCGGATTCAACGAACCATGATTCTCTTACTAAAATTCCTCTCGAGCTCCGCCGTTCTGTTTTCCTTCGAGGACTCTCCTCTTTTATTATTCATACGTTCCGTTCGTTTCCCAACGTCGCCAAACTTCCTCGCGCGGTCATTCTTGTTTCGCTTCGTGCCGAGCAAATTTGTATTGCATTCCCCGCACATTTCCTCCCGTCTAGGCGATCAAATAATTCTTGTAGACGCGATTTACGACCTGTCGCTGTCGACACAGCGCGATTTGTACATCGACCGAGTGACAGATTTCTCATGAACAGAACACTTTCCACTTACTTGCCGACCGCCTGCATCGTGTTCGACGCGTTTTTTGCGATGCTCTCCTTTGCAGCTTTTTGTTCATCGGGGACAGAAGAGATTTCCCTGGTATTCTCATCTAGCCGAGCAGTATTCCTCGCAGTGTCGTGGAATATGTTGTCTCGTATCTCGGCGATTAGTGCCTCCAAGCATGGAGCCGGCGGCATTTCCAGAGTCAAAGCGACTATTTCCTTTCGAGGGATACCCGCGAATCGAACGTCTATTTCGTCCATCACCGTCGCTACCGAGACCACATAGCTTTCCGGAGATGACATCAGCGATTGGCCTGCCAACGATCGCACGAAGCTTTGCATCTCGCTGCGCAACAGCATCTTCCTTATTTCGTTCGTGTCTCCCGCCGCCTCGATTATCATCCTCGATTTCTCGGGATTCACACGGCTCAATACATCAAGCACGGCCTGCACCAATGCCTGAACCTGATAATTCACGAGGATCGGCACGACTCTCCGATCATCGTTTCGTCCTCCGGCCCATCCGTTCCTCGGCGTGATCAAGTAGACGCGCTTTCTGAACGGGTTCGCTGCGTCGGGATTCATCGACACCGAGAGAAAGGAACTCGACGACAGTCGGTTGCCGAGTACACCGCGTAACGGGGATTTGACGCTAGAAGTCCTCGATGAAACATCCTTCATGACCCTGAAGCTGGACTTTATACTGATAATGTCTTTATTAGCGTCATGGTTCTTTGACCTGTACACCGAGGAGTCGTCCGATCTGCCTCTTTTCGATTTCAGCATGGTGATCCCGTGATCCAGCCTGATCGATCCGATCGTGGACCGCTTCGAGGGGCTACGCGTGGACCTTGTGACCCAGTTTCTATTAGACTCATTGGTGGTTGCTCCGCTGAACGCGTCGTCATCTTCGTCGTCATCATTCAGATGAAACGAATAACTATTTCTGTCCTCAGCGCTTAGCTCCATGCTGGAACGAGCTAGCTTCCTCCTGGGCATACCTTCGGCTAGGGCCTGTTTGATTCTCAGCTCATGGGAAGGACCCAGTAAAGAATACACGTGTGGCGAGATGGTGGGCATCTTTTCGAGTCCCTGCTGGACGATCTTAGTATTTTTAACATTGCTCGACAACACCCTACCGAGATCATCGTTGTTGTCCATGTACTGTCTACACTTCTTCTCCAAGTCCTGGATAGTTTGGTCTTCCAAAATTTTATTCCGCGGATCCTCGTGCAGCTTCACATTTTTAATCGTCGCGTCAGCTGAAGCATCTTCCGCGTCTAACACGTAGCATGTCAGAAAATTGTTCCACGCGCCGGTGAAGTGTCTCTTTTTAGCTTGAAACGATCATTGGGTTATTACCAGGTGTACTCCCCGTCGCATCAAGGGAAGGGTACCTTTTTCCAATAAAGGTGTCACAGGCCTGACGGCGGAGCTGTCGTTGTTGCTCCATTTCGTGCTGTGAGCGGTCAACAGATGCAGGCAAAGAAGTTTATGGGGATCGACCTCGTCGTTAGTGAAGATTACCGAGCGCACGAACCCGTAGGAATCTCTGGGCGTCTTTTCTTTGACCACTGGTCCGCATTCCCTTAAGGCACCCGTGCAATGGTAGCAGAAGCCCGGATTGTGGGTTTCGTACATGCGCACGTTAATAGCCTGCGCGTCAATTACCGTATCCGCGATCAGATCGGAAGATTAAGCGTTGAAAGCGCGCGTGCACGCGTCTCGGTTGGATCGTCGAACAATGACGCGGAAAGGAAACGAAACGGAAAGCGGATGATCGTTGCCTTTCCGCGGGATTCCGGGGATCTTACGTTTGATCCGGCGGACGGCTGTTTCGATTCCAGTTTCTTTCGACGTGAACGAAACCGGAGCGTGGTCGTCTCTATCATCCTGAGGTTCGACTTCTCCACCTTCTCGAGTTTCACGAGTTCTTGCGCCAGCCTCTGACTGCTGATCTCGTTTTGCTTAATAAGCTTGTCGTGCAATGTCATGTTGGATTTCATGGTCGTCCTCGTCGCAGTTGTCTTCGTAATCATCGCCGCGGAATATTGCTTTCGAGAAGATGGTTAGGCGCAGCGAAAACTCGATTTTTCATTCCACGGAAATGAAGCTGCGCGCGATTCACTTCATACCAAATCGATTTTGCTTTATCCCCATGGCGAACGTCGCTGTGCCTCGCTTTAAATTAACTTGGATTCAGAGTAATCCATTTATCGCTGATCGTAAAAAGGGGCAGGTAATTTTAATTAATTACGTTCGCATATTTAGCGTCCGGGAGACACGTTTCGATTCGTTCAGCGCGAAGTAAAAATACATAATGCCCGTACTTGTGTTCTTTTGTTGTGTCATATTCTCTCGGTTAGTTTCACTCGTTAATCCGGAAATTGGATTACACGTAACGAAGAAGTTCACGGTCCGTCGCGATTCGCGCGATACCCCCGCGGACGGCGGAGGCTTCGAAAATCCAGTTTAACCGTGAATTGTATAAGTATATTGCATAAAGCGTTAAGATAGTTGACGCGACCTGCCCACAAATGAACTTTCTAATAGGCTCACGTTATTTATAGATCGAAAGAATTTATTTACCAAGAGCACGCGGTGGCTGCGACATTGCGTCGCTCGAACGCTTACGATCGCAACAAGCGTAAATACATGCTAATCGTGCCAATTGTAACTGATTGTTTTTCTTTGATCCCTCGAGTCAACCGCGAACGCGTTCGCAACGTCTGTTCGAGCTTCGTATTATCGAGACCATTGCGTCAGTCCTTCGCGGCAACAGCTTCCGTACTTAATAAAAATCCATTGCAATCCCGTTTGGACCGATCCAGTACGATTAAATAAAATATTAAATGGATTAAATAAAATCTTCGATTTTGGGGCAACCTATATATCCATCGGTATAAATTGATTTGTCTTTGAGGGAGGTGAACGATGTATGTCATAGACGATAGAAACGATCACATTTTGCAATTCATCTGTTCGTAATCTATCTCTACATCGTCTCGTGGAAAGTCACTGACTTTCAAAGATTTCTTTATTTTTTATCTTAATGACGTTAATTAAGAAGCCATAAATAAAATCCGAGATTCATTAAAATCAAATTATGGAGAACTATAAAGATAAAGTTGTACATATTGTACATATTTCCTATTTTAGTTCCACGTTATATATATAAACACGCTTTGTAATGTTCATTCATCATTCTAAACACTTCAACAACAAAAACTGAAAGAAATGCAAGAAAAATTTCAAAGAAGCCACTGTCGATCTATCGATAAACATAGCGTTCTAATTGGTCGCGTAATTTCCACATGAAAACGACAAGAGTGCAATTAGTAAAATTTCAATGAATTTAATAATTTCCCAGAAAGTGATCTGCACGTTTCCAATAACTGTAAAAGAATAAATCGGAAATAGGTTAACCCTTTTGCCCCATGATTTCTTTCTGAACTGTCATCGATGTAACTACTTTGTTATTAATAATTACATAAAAATAAGAGAAATTTTCTTATTCTACGTTAACGAGTTCTCCAAGGTAAAATCACCGATAACAGAGGAATAATACATAATTTACACTCAAACAAATTGAACAATATTTACATTTGTTCAATTCTATTTGAAATCTTCACCACGAGTCTCACGTGATGTTGTACAACAAGGGGTTAGCCCCTTGCCCTGTGATTTATTTCTCAACTTTGATCGACAGGACTACTTAATCATTAATAATTTATTGGAAAAAGAGAAAAATTCTTAACATTTTCTATGTCTATGTCACCTCTCAAATATAAGAATTAATTACAGAGGAATAATATTTACCTCGAGTTCGAATGAATCGAGTAATATTTACGTTTGTTAAACAATATTGAAAATCTTCGCTACGAGTCAGACACGTTGTTATAAGGCAAGGGGTTGACACATCTGGTAGTTCTGCTGTTAGCACGGGGGCGCTGATTGGCCTAGAGATCGAACGAGATCGTCGCGTTGGTTACATCAGTGCAGACGGTGGTGCGCGGGAGAAACGTGAACGTGTTTACCCAGGAGATTCGGTTCGAACGCGGATAAACCGTGGAACAAGAGGAGAGTGACGAGAAGGAGCGGCGTGGCGGTTAGGAAGGCCGGCAGTGTGACGGGCCGCGTGGTAGGAGGTTGCCGCGATTCAATTTCAGTCGAAGCGCGCCAGGCAGACCGAGCGCCAGCAAGAACCGGCTGCTCTCTTTTCCACACCTCGTACCTCGTTTTTCGAGCCACGCCAGTCGAATATTCTCTTTCCGCGAGTGTGTGCGTGCTACCCATCCGCCTCTCTCTATCTCTCTCTTTCTCTCTCTCACTTACCTCTTTCTCTTTTCGTTCACTCTCTTCGTTCTATTCCCTGTCCTCCACAGCATCTGTCTTTCTTTCCCTGTCCCTCCGTTCAACGGTTGTATTCGTGGGACTAGGATGCACATGTACCGGCCGAGAGAGGGGGTAGCCCATGGCGCGAGTGTGTGCGCGTACGAGCCTCCAGCATCCCAGCAAGTGTTTACATCGTGGTGCGTGTAACCCACCGTTCGTGGACAACCGTTGCTCGGGGAACCAGTATCCTCTAACGTTTTAGAACGTATTCAAGAAAAAAGACGGTGTGCACGTAACGACCTAGTTCCGCGAAGGGAGAGTATTAACCGAGTATCTCGAATATCGAGACCGAACCTCGATACGTATCGAATCGAATTCAATCGAATCGGCGATTCCCGTTCGCGACGGTTGAACGTTGAGCACCGCGTTGGGACCTCGGTAGGGTTTTTCAAACGGTTTCAAGAGGAATACGAAGCGTGAACGTAAGAAATTGTAACCGTTGAAGGGACTACTCGAAATTATCGATTCAAACGAAGAGGCGAGCTGGTTTACGATAATCGAACGGTTCGGCGGTGCTACGGGGCAACATCGAGCATATTCATGAACGAGTGATTCTCGATATCATCGAATCAAATCGAATCGAGTCACATCCGAGGTTTCCGTTGACGGAGTTCGAACGTTAACGTGGTTGCGTTCGGAGGATTGTTGAAGTGGGATTGCGAACGAATCGAACGTTAAAATGTGTACGTTCGAGTCGAACGAACGAGCCAGGATCGAGACTGAACTAGACGACGTTACATCGAGCGGCTTCGCGATGTTCGATCGACCGGTGTACCGATGTACTTTCGTCGCGTTGTAAACTTGTATTGTGTAACACGTGACCGTTTAGCCGCCATGACCGCGAGAGGATAAGGAAGAGGGAATCCGCGATCCGTGAGAATGGAATTCGGAGGGTACAAAGGCACCGGTCCCCGTGTTAGGGTGCGACGACGCGCGGAATTAGGCAGACGGCTCACCAGGAGGTTATCCCTGGTCGCGAAAATGCCGGCTGCCATTCTTAGCAGAGCGAACCCGCCCGAGCCAAGGCCGGTCGAGATCACGGCGATCGCACCTGACAAGACGCAGCTCACCGTGAGTAAATTATTCTCTTGCCTTACCATAACAATCGTTATTATTATTTTTCATGTTTCCTTATTGTTCGTTATCATTGTTTTCGTGTATGCATACACGTATGACATTACGTAGCACGTATATTATCTCGCGCGTGCTTCGCCCACTATCGAATGGTATGGTATCCGTAGGACCATGAGATAGCGTGTCGCTTTTACAAACCACAATTTCTGTAATAATGACCATTTATTAAGTTTTCAGTGAATTTTTTGTTTATTCGAGTCATCGTATAGCTTGTTAGATACCCTGTCCTCTTTCGATCATTAGAATTTATAGTCCATTATTCTCGAGAAATTGGCCTATCAGAAGCCATTTAGAGTAATGGCGGAAAAGGCGGGCACGAAGTAGTAAACAAAATGGAGGATGCTCGAGAGTCGACGAAAATGGAGTTGAACCGTTCCAAGGTCAATCTCAGTTTTTCAGTAAATTCACAATTAAATTAATGAATTCAAAGTGTGAGAACTGAATTATTATTATAGAATTACTCTATAAGACACGGATATTTTTACAAATCCCAGAAAAATTGCGCAAACGTAAATGTAAACAAACTACTTTCGCAACCAAGCCTAGCCAAAAGAGTCAGGTGTTTCGAAAGGCTGCGAAAATGAATCGTTCCAAGGTCAATCCCAATTTTTCAATAAGTTGACAATTAAATTACCGAATTCAAAATATGAAAACCGAATTATTATTATAAAATTATTCTATACGATGTTTTTACAAATCCCCGAAAAATTGCGCAAACGTAAATGTAAACAAATTACTTTCGCAACCGAGCCTAGCCGAAAGGGTTAGGTGTTTCGAAAGGCCGCGTTCACGTCGGGTCGTGCGGCTTTCGAAATTCGTTGAATCCCGTGCGGTTCTCGCGGCACGATCGACCGATCGTCGAACGATATTCAACCGGATAGGACTGTCGGTTCGATTGTCGCGCGTTACGCGTTACGGTTAGCCAGAGGACTGAAGGGGAAGAGGAGGTGGCGGACCGATTGTCTCTCGAACTGTGTCGCCCGCGTGTACCTGGACACGCGTATCTAGCCGGTAGCATCGTGGAAAAGCTCGAACCTATATTTGCGCCGGCACGTCGACGGATTCCGCGGTAGAAATCGAAACTCGCCGTGGCGGCGTAGGGTTCCGACGATTAATGTACCGCGCAACACGTATATACAAGCATTAGCCGGCTACAAACCGGAGCCCCGGTGTACATTCTATACAGGAGTAAGAGGCGTTACCTTCGGTATTTAAGCGGTGTATATAGAAACGTTGCACGTCATTCCCTTGTTGTGTACATTGCGTTGTTGCTTCGCCTTTGTGCCGCGGCCACGTTTACACGCTCCGCGACGCTGACTTTTGTCGAACCCGATTTATCCTAGACAACCTTTATCGTTGGCTTCCCGCGGGAATTGACGAATGTTTGGGCGTTCCGGTACCATCACACGCAACCGATATTCTCGTTGCTCCAGATGATACTCTGGCTCTACGAGTTTGCTTCGACAATCTTTCTGGTTTCCTTCTTTTCATAGTTTGCGAATCATTAGTTTGATCGGTGAAATTGTTACTTTGCGATTGAGTTCGCTGTTCTATTGATTAGAAATGAGCGTTGTATACTCGGAGTGCTTTTAATATAATAATGTTATCGTTTTGGACGAGTTTTCTGCGAAAACTTGTTTGTTCGACGAACAGCTGAAGGCGGTGTGAGTTTACGTTGAGTCGTATAATTTTTGAACATCTTTTCCATTGAACGCCGATCCCGCGAGCCTCGCAACAGGTTCCCATTTCCCTCTCTATCTCTCCCTCTCACCGGATCATCGAAACGGAAATTGATCGCAATCTCGCCGGTTCTTCGAATCATTGTTTACGCTGGTCTTCACTTTTTCCATTCTTCGCCGCGGCTGTGAATCGCTGGGAAGAGGAACATTCTCAGCTGCCGAACTCGTTTAAATAATAATGAACGCGTACCTGTGTTCGCGAGCTCGCGTTGCGCGTGCGCGCATAAGCCCGCGCGAAAGAAAAGTGAAGGTGGCGCGTCGTATCGCGGTTCCTTGAACCCCGCACGTAATCGTCGTAAGAAAGAAAGTGCGCAACGTGATCGATACCGGCACTTTCTAGCTTGGTCCCGATAAATGCACTTTGGCCCCGTTCCGGCTCCTCAACGGCTCGAGTTTCGTGAATCGCCGTTCAAATTTTGAGGATGGTTGCGACAATGTATTTATTTTTCGAAGAAAGGACAAGGATCGTGTACCACCGATCCACGATCGAAATAATTAACTGATTCGTGTCACATCGCGTCTCGAACGTTCCGAAAAACAAATGAAGACTCGCAAAATTCGAGATAAATGTTAAACGCCGAGGCACAAATTTTCACAGCCTCAGCAAGTTTGACGCAATTATTTCTTATAAAATAATTTCGAAAACTCTTCTCTCGAAAATTGTACCGCGTATCGAACTAAAAATTTCGTTCACTGTTTCGCCTTTTATTGTAATAGGCAGCTAACTATTACTTTCGACCAACTATTTTTGAGTTAGTCACGATGAAACACTAAAGGGTTTTTTCTATTGATCGATCGTGTCTTCGATCACGTCAAATTGTTATATTGCAACACTGAGTGCAGCACAAGTATACTGCAATTTTCGATGGAGATTTTACTCGGTTTATCCTGGAAAACTTTAATATGAAAGGTACTTCGATACATCTAATATCGAAGCCTCGGTTAAATGCTAATGCATCGGATGATCGGCGATCGACAGTCAGCTCGAGGCGAAACCGTTACGTTTTCCGTGATTCGCGACTCAGCCACCGGATAATAGGAGGCCGCGATTCTTTCAGGCGCAGAAAATAAGTCAGTGCGCGCTCGCCTTCAATAACGTAGTTACTCTCACCGTAGCGATTTTCCGCGCGCGATTTCGAATCGGATCGAAAATCGTCGCCAGTAGTCGGTTTAATTGCAGTTAAACGCGAACACGTCTGGTTACGTAAAAATAAGCGTGGCTGCTGGTGAACTATCCCGCGATAAAAGTGAAAAATGGGGGGCGCAGCTCAGCCGACAATAAAATCGTTCCGAGGTGTCCCGTAAATTCGCCGCGAACGCGTTTCAGTCTCTCGAAAGTATTATCGCCCAGCTGAACGATCCTGTTCGCGCGGCTCGCTAATTAGTTTGGGAATCGTAACGCGGGCACGGTCGAGAGTCACGTTTCGTCCGTCTCGTTCGCGGAGACGCACATTTTCTATCGCTTTCTCCGCGCGCTTTCATACAATTAACTTGTCGAACCGCGAATAATTAAAAGAAATCCAGACATCGCGGGATTTGACGCTTTCACGCAACACCCTCGCACACCGAATCGTGTTTTGATTTTCGTGGCTCGATTCGCGGCGACGAAATGTGTTCGTGTCGATTCATTTCATGGGAGAAATCGACTAGTTCCGTTTCAACTGGCCATTCGTCGCTACGAATGATGTCGATCGCGTATCGTAAATTAGAATCTCGGTTCAATCACGAGTGAATAGATATTTCTACTAGAAAATATCTTCTCGCAAAGGTTTTAAGAACAGTTTTATAAACAGCAATGTTGTTTATTATTTATAAGGAGAAACATTATTTTTCTATTCTCAGTATCGTTACTTTCGACGTAAATTTGTACTTGCGATAAATGGAAATTTCGTTTTCTAGTAAATGCTTCGTAAATAAACTCGAAGAGCATAGGCGCGATGAGAATCGAACGGCGAGGGGTTAAAAGGTCACCGACACGCCGTTGGCGAACCGCGAAATTCACTTTCAACTAGGGAGGATCGAAGACGACCGGTCTCTCGATCGATTGCCAGCACACGCGGACGAAACGACACGAAGCGAACGGTCGTCCCACGGAACGGAGAAAGTGACAGTGTCGAATTAACCGGGCATCCCTGTGTTTAGCATAGAACCGTTCGAAGTCGCCCGCTAGAACGTTCGCTCGTGCCCGATTCCCGCTTATTACCAGCACCTGTCTATTAAAGTCCCGCATGTCGGTAGCCGTGAGCAGGAAACTGGCCGACGAAACAGCTTTTCCCCTTATCTTCGTCGAACGTGTCGTTCTCTTCGCTTCTCCCGCGCACTTCGGGTTTCCGCGAGTCACATCGGCTCTGGGAAACACGATTGCAATTAAAACGATAGCGCGTCTTTATCGCGCGCGTTAAATCTGTTTAACGAACGGGACAAATAGGCAGCGAGCAAACGGGAAGCCAGGGCAGATTAAACCGTAAGAGAATGCTGATAGCGTATGAATTATAAACGCTAACGAGATCGTTATGAATAGAAGTGGGGTAAGGTGAATTGAAATGAAAAGTGGAACGGAGCTACGCCATGCTTAACCAGAGGACACCGAGCATTCTAATTGCCGATTAAAACAGAAAAATATACATAGAAAGATCAGATGTAAAACTTCAATCTATGGGTACAGGGTAGTATCTTATCCCGTAACGATAAGATGCTTCGATGTCTACTGAATCCTCTAGGGCGTTGAGGCTACTTGAAAATCGAAGCACATTTTCAATCGACTCGCATCGATAATGACCGGTAAAGAGATTATAAACTTCGCGTAACGCGATCAGACGTCTAAATTGACCTGTTGCTTCGCGAAGAACGAATTAGCGATTCAATTACGGATTAGATTGCTTCGCTTAGTGGACGTGTTAGTTAAATTAGAGTTCGATCGCCGTTTATCCGGCTGGATTGGCTGTTCATCCGGTCTGATCTTTAAATCTAGTTGCCATCCCCGCGTACCTATCAATTACCATTCGCAAGCTGATTTTCCAGTCCTGCTCGAGCGTTTTTATCGGTCGTGATCGCTAACGACCGGCGTGAGTCAACGTCGGCTAGAGACAAAGACCTCGGCACGCGATACCGTTTCGCGGTGACCGGTAACGTTCGGCATTTCTACCGACGAGCGTAATTTCCGGCATGCTTATATCGGATTGACCTATTTCACTGGCG